TGTGGAGCACCTACAACCATCCTCCACTTCTCTGGTTTCTCTGGTTTTCATTTCTTTCACAACCCAAGTCACATCTTCAGCCTCAGTCTGCACAGATATGACTAAGCTGGATTTTAAAAGGCCACCAAAGCTACAGAAAAAAACAAACTATCTGAGGATTTATTATAAGTGCCAGGTTAAACAGATGGTTGATGGTGTGGTATTGTAGAGTGGTTGGTACCTCACTTAAAAGTGGCCTATGTCCATCTCTGTAAGTCAGCACTTCCTCCTTGGGAATAGTCCCATCATCTGTGTGTTGTGGAGGAAATGTTTCTTGTATCACTCTGTCTTTCAGTTTCTTCTTCATAAATAAAGCACCCTGTTTACAAACATTACTGTAAAGAAAAATTCTTCAAGCAGATAACATACCTCAGGTGCAGGAAAACCTGACCTGAGGAGTGATCATTACTATTAGGGCCTCAGGTGTCATTTTATGCTATGCTCTTTCCATATCATATGCTGTATGTTTTTCCCACCTTTCTGCTCTCCAAACTGACAGCATCTTACCTGTGTAGTGACTTTTTCCCTTTTGCAAGCAGACAAGTACTTGGTGTACACCAGAGTATGTGTTCCGGTCAAGTGCCACAGGGATCAAGGGAAACGTCCAAAATTTTAGACACCACCCTGAAGATCAGAGAGAATCCATCTCTCTTGATAGCAAAATTAGGCCAGAAATATAATAAGAATAGACCTCTCTCATGGGGTTTTGTTACATCAGCTCCTGTTTGAGGCCAGAGCTGTCTGAAAATTTGGAAGAGAATGTTAAAATAAATGCTGGTGCTCAAAGAAGAGGAGATTAAAAAGGAGAAAGAGGAGAAAGGAGAAGGAAAGAGAAATGGGGAAAAAAGGAAAAAAAAGGAAAAAAGAGGGGGAGAGGAAGAGGGAAAAAGAGATGAAAACAAAGGTAAAGAGAGGAAGAAAAGGAAAGAGAAGACAAAGAGAAAAGAAGAAGAAAGAAGAAGCAAAAGAAAAAAAAAAAAGGAAAAAAGAAAAAGAAAGAAACAGAAAAACAAAAAGAAAAAAACCAAAAAGAAATAAGGAAGAAAAAGAAAAAAGAGAACCTTCATAGAATTGATTTGTTCATGCCCAAGAGCAGATAAGACTCAGTGATCACAACAAGCACTTCCTAGTGCCGTAACAATCCTTCTCCTTACTGCCCTTCATCACATATTGTCCCCTGCAGAAATGAAGAGCACAAAGGTGTTGTGAAATACTATGAAATCAGAAGGCAAGAATTTGTACTCCCTATGTCCTTATTCTACATCAGGAGGATTACACCCAGCACAGGAAGATGAGACTTAGATCTCTAGCCTCAACACAGAAGATTCCTGCTGGCAGATCTGGTGCTGCCATTGGCAAACTGTCATCTAGAGAAATCTGAGGGATTTCAGGGCATGCAAAATAGAAGAAATGCAGGATTGACCCTGGATATCCCCATCTTTGACAACAGCAGGAATCCCTTATCTGAGTTCCACTGCTCCAGAGTGACTTGAAATGCCAGGCAGAAAACCAAGCAGGGAGATGCTTCAATTGCCCTTCATTAATTTAGCCTTATCATAGTATAAACAGATTTGAAATCTGAGAAAGCAAATGTTTAGAACACACCTTATGCTTCGGGAATGTTTACAAATTGCCAGCCCTTTACAGAAACAATAAGCAGGAATTAGAAAAGAAAAATCCCTTGAAGATATTTCCTGGTTTCTGCTAAGCATGTGAAGGGAGAAGGAAGACTCAATCAATTTGGATCAATTCCAGATGCAAACTATCACCTCCATATGGGGCTCTGCTTTTGGTAATGCTTGTTCTGTGTTTGCCGTGCCAGAGCCACGAACAGCAGCAGCAAGCAAAAACAAAAGGCTGTCAACTGCAGACTGTACAGAACAAAACAAGGCTTGGCTGTTAGCTCACAACACCCAGCAGTGCTTGTGGGGTGGAAAGGGAGGAAGATTCACCAACACAGCTTGGTGGCATGGTCCTGAAATCACAGCCAGTAACAGAGCTGACCATTTCTCTGCCTGTAGTCAGCTTTTTTAAGGAAAAAGAACAGCTTTCACACAAAATCTATTTGGTGCTGGTCTGCAAAGAGGACTGCTCTCCACTAAAACCTGCCATTCACACATCAGCAGGGTATTTACATGAGACTCCTATTTCAGTATGTTTTCCTCATGCTTATGGTGCTGTAAATTTGCATACGAGGGTAGGAATTTCCAAGCAGGGGCTGCCAGGGTTCTGCCTTCAACACGCTGCAGGATTTGCTAGGCCAGGATGCATTAGCTTCCATGACACCTAGCATCCATCCAAGGCAGCAGGCAGTGCTTGCTTCTCAAGAGGCAAACTCCAAATGCCACAGACAATGCAGTGCTGCCCATGAGAAAAATCCCTTTTTCCTAAACAAAATAGCTGCCCAGTATCCCAGTTCCATCAAACTCCATCTTCTTTTCTGCTTTGTACTTCACATATGCTTCCCCAGTCATGACTGTTTTCCTTTCCAAATCTCATGGGCACCCAGGGGAGTCCACTCTCTGTCTAACAGGATCCACCCAACATCTTGCCCTTGCATGCTACATGCTCATGAGTCCATACCACAGTGCAGCCAGAAGCCAGGCACATTCATACACACTGGGGAGAAAGCAGGTGAGGAAAGGGATACTCTTAAGGTCTTACAATGCAAAGAGGGTTTGCAATATTGCAGGAGCTTCCAAACAACTGAATATTGCCATTCATGAAGGTGATGTGGAGTAAGCCAGTGTTTTGATGGCTTGCACAGTAGTATAATGGACTACGTAGACATAATTCTTGAATTTCTAGACAAACTCAAGCACTTAGATGTCTATTGAAATTCAATAGACAGCTGTTCAAGTTCTATCCCACTGGAATCATGTCATTCAGCAATTTTTACTGCATTTCATTAATATTGAGTTATTTTCCTTCTGGTTTAACTACATGCAATATTTTTGAGATGGGCCCAAAAAATACCCAGTACATGCAAAGCTGCAGTTATGGACAACCAAGGAAGAGGGTTTAACTGCATCAGTGCCTTCAAGAGTAGGATCCAAAAGCCATTACACTTCAGGTTCTTAATCATGATTAAAAACAGCAGTATTTGTGCTGCTACTTTATGGCCCTGGCAAACTAATGAATACTATGGGGCTGAAGGACCAAAAGGCAAGTCCTGAGACTTGGGAGCCCCATCTGCTCACACATTTTTCCATTTCTGCAGGGCTGCTGTGACGTACCTACCAGCTGGTGCAGCTGACTCTGACTGCCCTCTAGTGCAGGGATCAAATTTGCTGAAGAATTTAAGACAGGGATAGCTACAAATGGAACAGAGAACTAGAGCTGAATGAAAAGTTAGTTCTTACTCAAGCATGAGAGAACTACGGCTGGCAAGGAGCAGCCAAAGTCACAATCTAGGTGCTAAACTATCTATAAAAGAGAGATCACTGAGGTGTTTTAACAGTGCACAGCAACCAGTTATTCTGCTGCCCCAGAGAGAAATTCTCATGCAAATTACATGTAAATGAGCGAAGTATAACATAAAGCTAAGCATCATGTAATAACTCTACATTTTAGGAGTGTCAGAAATGGCTTCTGGGTATGATGTGGTTAAGAGAACACCTGGCTAGTTCAGTCTCTGTCTCATATGTCAGGGTTGACTACTGAACCGATTCACAGACCTTCTCATCTTACAGGAGGTTTTAGAAGTTCTTTTCCATTAAAAAAAAAAAAAAGATAATATAATTCTGTACTATGAAATCCATGAAAGCCCAAGGAAGATGTTCTTCTGTGGTATCACTCAGGACAATTCTAAGTAATCTTGATTTTTCATAGCTTAAGGCTTTGGAGACATTATTAAGACAAAAAACAGAGCAACCTCATCGTAAGAGTCAACAATTACCCGCAATTAGATACAGCAAGATAAAATTACATTACTGGAGAGAAAAGATCTACTTACAGTGGTTCCAAATAGACATCTAAACTATTCATCTTCTGTACAGCTGGTATATTCCAACTAGGTTTTTTATTGTGAGATAAGTGAATCTGAAAGAGCTGTGTCAGAATGACAACATTCTTGGGATCCATTTGATAGTTTCCTGTTGAAAAGGCACATTATAATGAGATTAATTTAATAACATGAAAGATTCAGAAGACTGGTAATGGACTACAGAGTCCTTTATCTTTCACAGTCTTTTATGGTGATCACTTCACATAAGATTCATTGACTCTATGATGGCCCTTTCTCAACAAGAGGCCAGTCACTGAGCAAAATGCAAGAAATCATATACATTTTTCCTATCATCCATAATAGTTAGAACTTATTTCAAAAGCATAGTGCTAAGAAACATCATTAGACAGACAGTGGTATTAAGTGCCTTGGCACTGTGGCTGCAGTTAGCTCAAATGAGGTGTATTAATGGACCTTACCTGCCTTTAGATACCCAGTATGTACGAGCATGCATGTGTATCTACACAGACCTGAAAGCCTGCTACCCATTCTCTCACCTTAGCTATGTCCCTGTGAAACTTCTCATTCTTTGGAGATTTATCAAGCCCAAACATACGAGTAGCCTGCAAACATTATTATCTCATACCCATCCCCCTTCCCAGCTCTTCTTACATACACAAATGAGACACAGCATGCTTTTGCTTAAAAACCAACCCAAGGTACTGTGGACAAAATCTATTTTAATTTTTCAACAGGTAATTAGAAGTCTGGTTAGAGCAACATTCTCATTCAGTTCCTGGTGAAGAGTTATCTGCACAAAACCACATCAATACAACCTGTAGGGCTGAATTCAAGGACAAAGACCATCACATGGAAACTGTCTTATGGCCAGAACTTGAACACACTGGTAGAATTTGTTACCACCTATTCTGTGACTAATCAGAAGCTTTTAGTTTCAAGGGCACACTCTAACCTGAAATAAATGTCCCATAGCAGCTCCTTCCACTCACCTGAATAACTTGTAATATTATTATTATTATTTCTTTTGAGAGTACTATCTGTGCTAGTCTTGCTGGTGTATCTTTTGCAAAGCCTCCACTAACTACAGTCAGACTTCAGCAGCAGACCTAGGAAGAAAAACAGTTCTGCATATGTTTCTGGCTCTTAGCATTATACAGCTAGATTTTCAAGATAACAACAACATCTGAATAGAGTAACTTCCCAGTAGTAAAGACATGCTGGATCCTCAGTGTTAGTTCCTGATGAACTGAAAAAGGCTGGGGAGACAGGCAGACACACAGTATGGAGGTAGATGCTTACCACTGGGGCAGCTGACTGAGGCTCTGACTGACAGTACAGAAATAAGGGGAATTTTTAAGCAGTTGTGCCTTAAAATGAATCTCCTACCAAATCTTGGTCTGGTTAAATCTTTGCAGAGTCAGACAGAAAGATCTTCAATTAACAGTGCTTATTTCCAGCTTAATTGGCTTACTTCCTCAGTTCCCTTGGGAGGAGAGTGTCAGTGTGCACAGTGATACCTACATGCATCCTTGCTCTTGCTCTCTCCTCAGAAGATATCCCTAGCATATATCTGCTGTTGCTGCCATAGTTCCTGCCATTGAGAAACAGAAATCATTACAGACCTGCTGGACTTTTTGTTCCCATAAATGCATGATCATATAACAGCATAACAAATACAGAAGTTGTATAACAATTCAATGTATTTGGCAACAACCGGTGGAGAACAGGCAATTGAAAGGACAAAGCACCAAAAATAGCACCTCTCTTAGACAAAAGAGAGGGCCTGCTGTAGATGGAATTGGAAGAGGTCAGCTTGCACAGCCCAGAACATTCACCAGTGTAATTTTGTCCAGAGCTGTACAAGTTTCTATTAAATCTTCCTCCAACATTGTGTTCCAACACTGTCCTGTGGGGACAATTTCTAGGAAGTATGAATTTCATGTCAAAATACAGCTATATCTAGCTTCAAATCAGAGTCATGGGAAAATTCCCATTGGTTTCAGCAGAGTTGGTTCACATTCTTCATCTAACATAACTACAGCTGGAAGCTATGCATGCAGATCCCCAACACTGGTTGCACATGGACAGCATTATCACATCAATCACAGCATGCAGCAATAACTTCACTGTTATTAAACCATCCAGAGCTAATAACTAGGAACATGGAGATAAGCACAACACATAGTACTTTGACAAAGGTCTAAGGGAGCTCCATGAGGTAGTGGATACAGTCCTCACTCCTCTGTGCCCTGTGGAAAACTCCAGCCTGTGGATGCCAGTCTGATCCAGTTTACACTCCGGACCAGGCCGTGCTTTACCAAAGTCAGTGTGACACTATTATTGTGAAATCACAGGAATAAGGATTATCTCTTGTCAGACTTGCTTGCTGTTATGCAGCAGTAAATAAAAGAAAAGCTTGAAGCAAGTAAAATGAAAAGCAAGCTAGCTGAAATTTACTCAAGTATGAGAGCTAGAAGAGGTCTGAAGACCTGCTAGCAACTGAACTCTTTCCCCAGCTCATCTGCAGTAACATCTGCATGTGTCTAGTGACAAGAGGTGTACATAAAGGAAACAGCCAAGGAAACAGTCTACTACCATTACTATTTGAGGACAACAAAAGTAAATAGAACAAGACACAACCACTTTTCAATCACAATGACTATTTTACTGCATTGGGCAAGATAAATGATTCCTCCTCTGTCCTCCCATTTATGTACCAAAATATTAGTTAAGATTGAAATTTAGTAAATTAGACAATCTTCAGTTCAGTTTTCCACAGCAATATTAACCCTGCCTAACAGGGCTAGCCAGACAGAGGGATGTGACAGACTATAAATCTGGCAGCTTAACACAGTACTGTTATTCCGCCTTCTGCCTTAGACATACACTCACATTTATTCCAACAGGAACACATAAACAAAACTCAGAGGTCAGTTCTATAGTATAACTGTGTAAAAAAATTAACTTATACCACTGATTAATGTGCAATTTTTCCTTACAAGACAAGTTCCATGCATCCCATCAACAAATACCTTCCAACCAAAGTATCTGTATTTAGGAATTTAGTACATAATCACAGAATCACAGAATCGTAGGGGTTGGAAAGGACCTCCAGAGATCATTGAGTCCAACCCCCTGCCAAAGCAGGATCCCTACACCAGGTCGCACAGGTAGG